ATCCTAATAATTTAAAACTATATTTTAAATAATTTTAAGAATATAATAATTATGCAAATCATGCATCAAACCTATCTGTCCCAGCCAAAAACCCATCTCCTTCCTATAGGTTAGAGCTCTACTGATATCTAAACCCTACTAGAACATATTGTTTGACATAATGTATATTGTTATCTTTAAAAGAGCAATTTGTATAACTTTCTTTATAAAAGAAATGCTTTTGCTAATTATTAATAAACTAAGAATAGAAAAATAGTAACGTAAAAATATGGATTCCATTAGCAGCACTATCACTATTATATGTTGTTGCCACGTAGTTGGCGCAGCATATATCAAATGACTTGACCCTCTATAAATAGTTTTTGGGGAATTATGTCTACTGTTGCATATTCGCCCATATGTTCAAGACTTTGAGCGAAGATATATCATCAACTACCCAACCAAAATTGATGAATTTTTTTTATTTTGATTTTACAGAACTGTAGAATCAAAATAAAAAAAAACTCATCGATTTTGGTTGGGTGGTTGACGAAATATTTTTGAAAATATTTAATGGCATCTTTAGCAAAATTTTTGTAAACATTGAACGAAGATATCTTGCCAACTACTCAACTAAGATCAATGAAATTTTTTTATTCTGATTCTACAGAACAGTTGAATAAAAATAAAAAAGTTTCATCGAGTTTGATTGAATGGTTGATGAGATATCTTCATTTAAAGTTTTGGAAAAATTGATGATACCTATCAATATAATGGCCGTAGCAAAATTTTTATAAATTTTGAACGAAGATATCTTGGTAACCACCCAACCAAATTCAATGCATTTTTTTTATGTTCTGCAGAATCAAAATAAGAAAAAACTTCATTGATTTTGGTTGGGTGGTTTATAACTTATCTTCGTTTAAAGTTTTAGAGACATTTAAAACGCCTATCAAAATATAACCGTAAACAAAATTTTTGTAAAATTTGAATGAAGATATCTCGTCAACCACCCAACCAAAATCGATGAAGTTTTTTTATTTTGACTCTACAGAACTATCAAATCAAAATAAAAAAAGTTTCATCGATTTTGGTTGAATGGTTGATGAGATATCTTTGTTGAAAAATTTGGAAACATTTAAAATGTCTATTAAAATAATGGCTGTGAAAAGATTTTTATAAACTTTGAATAAAGATATCTCGTCAACTACCCAATTAAAATTGATGAAATATTGTTATTTTGATTCTACAGTTCTGCAGAGTCAAAAAAAAAAAAAAAAAACATTCATCGATTTTGGTTGGGTGAATGACAAAATATTTTTGAAAATTTTTTAAAAATTTTGTAAAATTTGAACGAAAATATTTTGTCAACCGCCCAATTAAAATTAATGAAATTTTGATTCTACAGAACTTTAGAATTAAAGTAAAAAATTTCATCGATTTTGGTTGGGTGATTGATGAGATATCTTCGTTTAAAGTTTTGAAAACATTTAAAATATCTATCAAAATAACAGCCATAGCAAAATTTTTGTAAGCTTTGAATGAAGATATCTCGTTAACCTCCCAGCCAAAATCGATGCAATTTTTTTTATTTTAATTCTACATTTCTGCAGAATCAAAATAAAAAAATTCATCAATTTTGATTGGACGGTTAATGAGATATCTTCGTTCAAAGTTTTAGAAACATTTAAAACGCCTATCAAAATAATAGTCGTAGCAAAATTTTGTAAATTTTGAACGAAGATATCTCGCCAAGCACCTAATTAAATCGATAATTTTTTTTTATTTTAATTCTGCAGTACTATAAAATCAAAATAAAAAAAAATTTTTTATCAATTTTGGTAGGGTGGTTGACGATTTATCTTCACTCAAAGCTGCAAAGTCTTGAAAATTTTAAAAATAATAGTCGTGTATCGTTACAATTGATTAACCAATAAAATTGCGCGAATTTTATATATATTAAAAAATGCATCAAGAACGTAACTCAAATTTAGGGTGCAATGTAGATCTATCAACAATGTAACCGCATTGAAACTTTCTTTTCCAACCTAATTATTAACTGTTAAAAATAACGAAATAATAAGTGGATGGAGTAAATTTCGTAAAATAAAAGGTAGTTATATTTTTATTAGTACTGAAAGAACCTTTTTTAAGAGGCTGTCTCGGCGTTCGCGCAAAGGCACACTCTAGAGAACCAACCTGACACTTAGCAAGGGTGGCTTTAGTTTGTTACCTCGGCGTTAGCGCAAAGGTGCACTCTGAATCAACCGCCTTTGTTATTTGTTGAACGGCCAGGTTTTTTATGATCCTTGAAAGGAGTTTCCCTGTCGACTAGGTCTACCGTTTCTGTATGAGGGATTGTTATGTGCTTGCCTTATTGACTGGAAGTTTTTGTCTGAGCAAACCCTAATCAAGAGGCTGTCTCGGCGTTCGCGCAAAGGCACACTCTGGAGGACCAACCTGACATTTAGCAATGGTGGCTTTAGTTTGTTACCTCGGCGTTAGCGCAAGGGTGCACTCTAATCAACCGTCTTTGTTTGTTGAACGGCCAGGTTTTCCATGATCCTTGAAAAGGAGTGGAGATTTCTTTCCGATAGGGTTTGCGTTGTCACTAATGAAAATATTGCTATTTAATATATGCAGTTATTAATTAAGTTTTATTATATGCTAGGAAAACGATATTTCGTCTTCGACTAGTGGTCCATTCCTTTCCTAGGATTCTCAGCCAGAAACAAACGATCGACATTTCATATATTCCTATTCAATTTCAATTTATGATTTTATGTTGCTTCGAAAATTGACTTATATCATTAAGCTTTAGATTGCTATTTATTTTTGAATTTTAATCGCATAATCAACGACAATCAGGTGATTGTACATGTGAACTACAAAATTGATCAAAAGATACATCATTTTGCAAACCGCGGTAAATGAGCCTGACCTATCTCTGTACGCGTAAACTTTGTTGTTTATCTTACCTTTGTTCATTACTTAGTTATAATGAAGGAAAAAAGGTTTTTTCGATATCAAAAAAAAGTGATTATATTTAAAGAATGAATGCTACTTGTAGAAGAGAGGAATTAGTTGTATAAAGCTTTGCATTAATGAAAATACATTTGTATTATGTACTAGAGAAAAAAAAACGCCCTGTCCGAAAATAATCGATCGCCCAAGGTTGGTTTTATTAAAGTTTTACTAGACAACGTATAATAATGCATATTGATTTTTTAGATATCGGGTAGGATTCGAATAAAAAGAAGTAAAATTGAAGAGGAAAGGGTATGTCGCCTAGAAGAACAAATAAAAAGTAGAGATGTGGATGGAGGTGGATATAATCGCGAAACAACACAGGTAAAAATTTAATAATTCACACGAGGGAATGTTTGAGTAATTTAGTATATTTTTTTTAAAATAGGTTTTAGAATTGAAAGATAATCCCGCGGCAAAAGATTATGCTATTCGTCAAAGTAATTTAGATGAATTAAAAGCTGTTAATGAACGACTTTTATTAAAATTGGAATATTTGCGGAAGAAAGCCAAACGACATACTTGAAGAGAAAATAAAGTGTCATTACCGGTTTTAGCGTACGACAGATCTGCAGATGCGTTTATTTTAATGTTAATTAATTAGAGAAAAAGAAGTGATATAAAAATAGATCAAAAATCTTTTAAAAAATTTGCTGGAATTTTTGTGGTTTCCGAAATTTATTGATTTATCGATTTTACAAATATCTATATTAAGGTAAATGCAGGAATGTGGGTAAAATGACGGACATGTTATCTGTTATAAGAAAACGTGATTTTTTACTAAGTAAATCAAAATTTTATTTACTAAGTAAAGTTGTTCAAAAATGCCATCTTTTACTCAAATTTTGATGCCAGCGCAACAAATTGAATTTCTGCGCCAAAAACGTATGTTGGTTTGTATAAAATGTTTTTAACTAAAGAAAAATCGCTGGGTAAAGATCACATGAGAGAAATAGAAATGTATTATTAAAAAACCAAGATCGTCGATTTACATACAAATTAACATAGTTCTAAGTAACATCACAATTTAATTAAATAAAGCAACAATTTTTTAAATATAGCTTAATAATAAAAACCCACATTTACCTTATACATTTTAGTTGTTACAGCTGGGATAACTTAGTTCCTATCACTAAAGGAACATTTTACGTTACACCTGATCTCGAAATTTGATTGGCCAAAATTACGGGAGGGAAGCTTCAGATTAATTAGTAAATAATTAGTAGTAGGTAGTTTCGAGAAAGAATTTCAAGGACCAACTCTGAACAGAGTATACTCCTTGGTCTTATGTGAACAGCCGCATTATCTGTTATTCTTGTTTGCGGGAAGAGTTAAATGCGAGATTAAGAGTTAAATGCGAGATTTGTGCTTCATCGAAGATAGCGATAAAATCATTAGTTCTTGGATAAATTTATCTTAATTTAATCATATCAAGTTTCTTGTGTTTGCATAGAGAAATCTTCGGTACGTATCAGATATCAGATATCGTGTGACTGGTACGTACGTACAGTACGATCATAACTGTTAAATAATTATAAAAAGTTACGGCACGTTACGGCATCATTGGGACGATTCATCTGCACCTCCAGTTGTGATCTTGGTCACATGCATCCTGAAAAATCGGAAATGAATAATCATACAAATTGACCTGCTCGACTTTTAATTTAAAATTTACGAATTTCGGACGTTCTTCTCGAACGCTCATCTCATATTTGTAATGCCTGAGCTTCCCGAAGTTCATCGCGCCGAAAGAGCGTGCAATGCTAAATTAGTTGGAAAAAAGATCGTTAATGTTGAATCGGTATGTTCAATATACTATTTATCTGTTATACTCTATGACCACCATATTTTAGAATAAATATATTTTACCCTTTAATAGCAAGAAGACAATCTTGTTTTTTTTGATATGACAAACAAAGAATTTGAAAAGAGACTACTGAATAAAATTGTTGTAGATACGGGACGATGGGGGAAATATTTTTATTTTTGTGAGACTTTTTTTAGGTTTCGCGTGTTTATTGACGTGTAGCATATAAGTCATTTGACATTCTATAACAACACTTGAATGTTTTACAGTACTTAATGAAGGTCCACACGTTGTTATGCATTTTGGAATGACTGGAGACATTCGTGTATATATTAATGTTAATATTTTGTATGTTTTTTTTATGGTTTACAAAAAAAAACGCGTCATTAATAATCTCTTTTACTACTTAAAAAGTTCAAAGACCAAGAGATATTTCAATATCGTAGGCCATCTAAGGATGATCCAAAAGATTGGCCTCCTCGTTTCTGGAAATTCACAATTACTCTTGTGGAATTATCAAATTCATCTTCACAAACTTCACAAAACATAGTAATGGCATTCACTGACAAGCGAAGATTGGCAAGAATACGTCTTGTTAATTCACCTTTACAAGATCTTCCAATATCAAAACTTGGTTTTGACCCTATATTAAATATGCCAGATAGACAAACATTTAAGGAAAAAACTTTAAAGCGTCATTGCCCTATCAAAGCATTATTACTAGATCAATCATTCTCAGCTGGCGTTGGAAATTGGATAGCAGATGAAGTACTTTATCAGTCGCGCATACACCCGGCACAATATGCGAATACATTAAGTGATGAACAGATTACAGCATTGCATGAGAATTTGATATATGTTTGTCAAACTGCTGTAGAAGTTAATGCAGATGCTAGTTTGTTTCCTTCTTCTTGGCTATTTCATTATAGATGGGGTAAAGGAAATAAAGCAGGTGCATTTATGCCAGATGGTGAAAAGATTTTGTTTGAAACTGTTGGTGGTAGAACTAGTGCAATTGTACCGAGCGTGCAAATTCTAATTCAAAGTGCGTCAAAAAGTGACAGTTCTTATACATCAAATGACTTGGTAATATTTTTTTTTCCATTACCGAAAAGAATGCTCTATTGTTGTTTGCTAATTTATGTACATATATGACCACCATAGAATGTCAAAAAGTCAACACGTCAGAAGCGATCTACAATAGGTGAAAATTTAAAATCCGAAAACTTGGTCAAGGTCTCTTCAACTAAACGTCGACGAAAATCGTAATTCATCTCTCTCAAATGAGTATTAAAGAAGAGATCAGTAAATGAATATTCGTAATGCCCTTTATGATATTTATTACCGTATTTCTTCTTATTTTGTAATAAAAAATCACTTTAAAATTGATATTTTCACGTGCCGTGTTAGTCATTTTAGTAACGTGACTATAATGAATGGACTTGCGGTTCCTGCCTTATTAGTCATGTGCATACATTTACATTTTCTAGAACCCTTCGTTTTCATTCGTCTTCGCATAATTCAGTTCTATTAAAAAATTAGAATGTCTCAACACCGTTTTCCTGCTCAATATGAACAATGGTCCACTCAGCAACAATGGAACTATCAACAGCAACAGCAAACACAATATTATCAACAGCAGCAACAATCTTTTCACCAACAACAGCATTCATACCAACAACCTCAATACCTCTCTGAGTCCCAAACTAACTACGAATATATGGATTACACACCGACACCTTATGACGGACATACAACTTATACTGACGTTCCTTACCCATACCCAAATAATAGTTCAATAACCGCTAATATACAACAGACTTCATATGATTACATAACTCCTCAACATCAGTTTTTACGGCAGCCATTACATCAATTACAAATGCCTCAACAACAAATCCCAAGTGAAGTGACCTTGCAATCTATGTTTTCTACGCAAATTCTTCCTCAAACACATGAGCGCCACGATTTACATGAACAATTAATATCGCAGTTTCCACAGCAACAAGAATCGCAGCTGTTACCACACCAGCTTCTATGGTATTTTGCTGAACTTTATCTATCTAAAGCAAAAGCAACAGAATTATCTTCTACAACCTTAGTAAAGTTATCTTCGGAGCAACAGAAAAATATTTTATCTGCGATCAAGTGCTTGGAGGCTGTAATTATAAGTATTGCCAATGGGAGCACATATACGCCTTTAGTTGAGCTAAAGACGCGGTTCAGGTTGAGTCAAATTCTTTTCTGGTTTACTGAGAACGTTCGAGAAGCGGAAAGTCATTTGCAGAAAGCTGTATGTATGATTTTGATTCAAATTAATATATATATATATAACAGTGTGTCTTTTTCATGCTCATTTTATTTTTCATTATATGCTATTTTCAGATAATGTTATCTCAGAAGGTAATTATTAGCAGTCTTTTGTGGTGAATTTTTATGAATACGTTTTTTACTTATTACACGGACGGTGCTTGCGTTTAAATCCATAATCCTTTAACAGCTAGATGCTGTGGCTGAACTAAAATTTAGGATGATTGATCTTCAATGCAATATTTTCAAAAGTGCCAATAATATTAAGGCGGCACGAAATATTATGAAATCCGGTGTTATTGAAGCAATGGAGTGGGTGAATTTCTGCTCATAGTTATTGATCAAATATTTCTAAAATTTTAGAATTCTTAATTATTGTATATATTTTCTGTATTTAACCAAAATATTTGCTTTTTTTACATTATAGATGCAACATGCCGGCCTGGACATATCACTTTTTATTGCGGCATGCTGAACTTTATAACACTGAAGGTGATTTCAATGGATGTTTATCAACCTTAAAACAAGCAGAATCAATGGCTGACCAAAGAGGCGATGTCGAAATGAAGGTATATTTATCTTATGGTAGGAGTAATTGCGAGTTGTTTATATATTGTGTACAAAATCAGTACATTACAATCCTTTTTCAACTTTTTAGGCTTGCCTTTTAGTATCAATCGCTCAATACGCTTTTACGAATCAAAATTATTCAATAGCCCAGCATTCACTTGCTGAACTTTCTACTATATATTTCCCGCCTCCATCATCTCAACCTCCACAAACCTATCACATTTTCCCGATATCCAACCATCGTCTCCATCTGCATTATTTGCTGTTATATATAACTTTTAATATACATACTGGGAATATGAAAGATGCTACCGAAAAGTTGGCTGAAATTCACACTATGCTGAATCAAAAGAAAGACTTAGAAAATTCGGATGATGTGAAAGGTTTTGCGACGGTAAGTCATCTAAAGTATTTTTTTTAAATGCATTATTATGATTATTATGAGCCTTGCATATAACATTCATTTCCTTAGATTCATGTTTCGGCTGATCCTACATCGTCTACTACTATGACACCGTATTCAACCTCAACTGCAGCAGCTCAAAGTGTGCCAGTAAAAATTAAATTGTTATCCAAGGCCGAAATATATAAACTCACGTTTTTGATCTCAAGAATATGCAGTGGAACAGCAACTAATGTTGTAGTCTAAACTACGATCGTTAAACTTTCATCCACTGATAATCCTTAAAACCGCTCAAACTTATTAAAGCCCTTGATTTCTATTAATCCTGATAATTGTTACTATGTAACATTAATTAAGTCATATGAATTATATAATCTTAAATAAAATAAACACTTTATTTAATAAATTTAAAAAGTATTTTTAAAAAAAAATTAGAATTTATGGTTGAAATAAACAAGTGTATAGATGCCTTAATCTGGGTTGGGCGGGAATTTTGTGAATTATCCGGCAGGTATTATGAAAACACCGACGGGAAAATTTTACTTTATTTCCGCAGATTTTTATTAAAATCATCTGACAAATTCTTATTAATAAAAATCTGTGGAAGTAAATATAAAATGAGTGTCGCCAAAAGAAAACCCGACAATTTAAATATAGACTATATTTAAATTATCGGGTTTTCTTTTGGCGACACTCAAATACTTTCCGTAAGTGTATACTTCATACCTGCCAGATAAACTAGTTATCTGGCATTATATACGGATCATGGACATCAATAATATAATAGCAACGCACGAGGTCCTCGGCCACATGCTTTTTATATTATCCTGCTGATACCCATGTATTCGTCAAACCATGCCAGATAACAAGAAATTATTTTTGCAGAATTAGGATAGGATTAAGGTTGAGATTAGAATTAGAGATAATATCTAGTATTGAGGATTGATGGTTTGGGTTAAAAGAGTGTTATTTGAGCAAGTATACCAATGTGAGGGGGGAATCCAAACAATTGCATTAAAGTAGTTAGGGGATATAAATATATGAGAGTATATAGAGTGGAAATATGCATGTGTAAATAAGATATTAAGTAGCATTTTAATTTTAAAGGATTTCAAGTAGTTTAGTTTAAAGTTAGTAAAGTTATATGAGATTTTTTGATTGTTATTAAAATATAACCAGGAAGTATTTTAATCAATTTGATGAGAGAAGTGTAATCATTTTTGAGTATAATTTTGTAAAGACTATAAAGCAATATTATATGCATTGTAAATATTTTTAATAAACTATTTGGTAGTACTTTCAATAAATTAGTCTTTTTATAATAGAGTAAAGTATAGGTTGTATAAATCAGGGTTGGTAAATTACCTGGTCATTTGATCAAAATTTAAATGACCTCAAGTCATTAAATAATGACCAGGTCATTTGGGTCATCTGGTCATTTGGGTCATTTGCATGTAAAATAATTTTATTGGTTGAATTGCTTATATAATATTTTTATAAAATTTAATTTTGTTTGGCAGCCAATTCTAATTGGTTAAAAAATATTAGAATATTAACTAACATATGTTAAATGACCTTCTAAGGTCATTTAGGTTTTGAAATGACCAATGACTAGTCATTTGTCATTTGGTTCATTTGGGTCATTTCAGGTCATTTACCAACCCTGGTCTAAGTTGCATCTATCATCGGGTTTTTATTTGATTATTTCAACCCTGAAAAATTTGTTCTACTTAGTTAAAAATCAGTTTTCTAGCCGTTTCTGTTACACAACTTTATTGTCATATGTATTATTTTTTTTATTAATAATTAACTAAAATTAACACAATACATATTAATCAATTCTTCATTTTAACATAGTAAAACCACATAACTAACTTTTCACTATTTTTTCCCTCTTGATTTTCCTTTTACTCTTTCTATTATATCGTCTGGAGGCTTTGGGCAGAGTTTGTCTTGAAATTCAGTTGGACAATATTTACGAATTTTGTCCCAAAGATCTACTTGTTTCTCAAGCTTTTGAACATTCCAAGCACTTAGTTTAAGTGGATCAGCATCTTTTTTTAATAACTTGAATTCATCCCAAGGGTCATTAGGTCTTATTTTAGCTCTTATAATTCCAGGTTTTTCATGATTAAACAGAAAGAAGTGATATTTTTGAATTGCAGGTAGTTTTTGGTATAATTTACTAAGTGATGATGTCCAGGTTACGAAAATATTATTGTTTGCACTTTTGTCAATTATATCAATTATATGATTGATACACTAAGCTTTGATTTGGCATATATATACTTTGTACTACCAAATTTAGAGTTAACAGAATTTCTTGTATAGCTCTTAATTTGAAATCAATATTTGATTTCATGAAATTTTTTGATATCACAGACCCAAAGAAGATACTAAAGAAGGCAAGAATTTTTATTTTAGCCTCTGCAATTATTTGCTTATAGTCTGATTTCTTTTGCTTTACCTATATTACAAAAAAAAAAATAATGTAACATCAAAGTAACTTCATTTGCCTCTTTTAAAGTTATGCCTTTAGTATAAACACTGTGCCAATATCTATTAACACCTTTGTCTACAAAACTAAACTAATGCATCTTTAACAATGATTAATAAAACTAACTTCCAGATTGTTGTGGGTCATGAGGCATGGGCAAAATTAGAGATGTTAAAATGCTTATATAAACTCTGTTCAAGCAGGTTCCAAGCACAAACTTTTACAGTTTGCTTATAGATTTTTTAAGCACTGCTTAAAAGCAAATATGCTTATAATGCTTCAAACCTGCTTAAAGCAATTATGCTTCAAATTTGCTTATATTTAAATTAACTTAATTAAATTTGTTTAAAGCAAATATGCTTCAAATAAATTTTAAGAATACATATTTATTGGATTTATCTTTTAATAATTTAACAATTAAATTTTTGTTGCAATAGCTATACAAAGTTAATTATTGGTTCTCATAACACAACTAAATCAAATTTTTGAAATTTTTATTAATCTTGTTAATACATAATTCTAAATATAATTTAAATATCAAATGCCAAATTAAAATCAAAATGACTATAATACTACTAATATCTAACCTTTTACTAACTTAGTTTTTATTTTAACTCTAATAAAACTTAGAACTATTATTTCAAAATAATATTTTATATAAATTTAATTCTTTGAAATTATAATTATTTGAGTTTTTTTTTAAAATATAAATTTTAAATTAATAATATATTGGTATAATTGTACTTTTGATATTTATATATTGGACTATAGTACTATTGAAATTCAGTTTTTTGGTATTTTTAAACAATTTTAATAAAAACTAGTTTTAATTTGTTTAATATCAAAGTAAAAATGCTTTATATAAACCAAATTGCTTGAGCAATTTAATATTTTTATTATACAATTTTACTTATATAAAGTATGCTTATATAAATTTGCTTATATAAGCATGCTTATATTAACTGGTTTATAAAAACTAGTTTAGTCTGCTTCAGTATCCAAGCAGATATGCTTTGAGCATAAACCAAACTGCTTAAGCAATTTAATATCCCTAGGCAAAATCAAATGAAAAAACATGAAATAAAGCATGATTACAGGTTTTTGCTTTTTTTATATCATCTTAATAAGCATCTCTTATTGCTCGATAGTCTGTTACATGTGTTGTTAACTATATATCAAGCTTTTTATTTGTATTTTTAGCATTTTCCTTCAATTCATGTTTATATAAAGTGTATTCATTACAAACATCCTTGGACAGTTTTCTAATTATTATCTTACTAAGCTTAGTATCAGATCTCCATATTTTTTAAAAAGTCACCAACTTTTTTAATGAGCTTTTCAGGGTGTATTGAGTTATAAGCAGCAAGGAGATGATCATAAGAATAATGATATAGAAAAAGAACAATATCTTTCTTTTTATAACTAACAGTTATTTTTCTTCAGATCTTTTTCGAATATATTTTCTAGCAGCTCATGCTTCACCCTGCTGCTCTCTAATTGATTTAATAAAAAATTTTGTCTCATTAATAGTTTCATTAGGCAAAACATTCTTAGATACCAAACCAATATTTCTTCAAGGTTGTAATAATATTGATTTATGTTTTTTAATCCAATAACTTAATATCTAAAGGTATCACTACTATATATCCAAAATATTAGAAAAAAGAAGAACAAACATCTCTAAGATAAGGTAGTGGGTATCTCTTAATTGGTACTTTAGGGTACAAATCAGGATTTGAAGAAGAAATGAGCATTAACATCAAATAATGACACTGCTTTTTATTCATCTAAAGACTTTCTAACACTAAAGTCTGTAGCAAATCTACTAGAATCTTATTACTACATTTTGTTTCACATAAACAACATTCTTGAAGCTTATTAATAAAATCCTTTATATCTGTTTCAGTAATTTTTTTATATCTTTAGATCTTTTGTTTATAATGTCTTTATTACTTGATTTATCTAATAGAAAAATTTTCTCTATCTCTTCAGGTATATGTTATTATTTATCTGTCTAGGGTCTAATTTCAAAAAAGAAGGTTCATGTAAAGTACTCTAAATTTTCTAGAAATTTTATTTTATAAATTATTGTTAGATATGTTAAGCTTTAATCAGATTGTTAGATTTTTATTCAGAGTTTTCAATTAGATCAAATTGAAGATTAAAGTTAAGAGCAGTATGCTATATTTTTATACTTTTATTTTGTAATTATAAAATAACTAAAAAATAATTTTTAGGAAAATTAGTAGATTATTAACTTGGTCAGTACAGAAATTACTGATTTGGCTGATATTAATAGACTTATTGAACTATTTGAATAATTTTTCTAATAATTATTTACTATTAATGCAGATAAAATTACTTTAACATAATTATTAAACCAAATTAGTAAATTACCAACTTGGTAAGCACAAAATTAATTGATTTGGCTAATATTAATTATTTTAATAATTATTAGTTATTAATGCAAGTAAAATAGCCTTAATATTGTTACTGAACTTGAAATAGACTAATAGCTATAGTTAATAGTACATTTACAGCAATAATTGTTTTCTATTAGGACTAGTATTAATAAATTAATTGCTTTTAATGTTTTGAGCATTTTTATTTAAAATTAAAATTTATTTATTATCAAATCAAGTCAATAAAAATAATTTTATAAAAAAAAAAAAAAGAGATTTTAAACATTATTATTTATAAAAAAAAAAACAATATTGAAATTCTTATACATCAAATCAATACATACTGT